ATTATTTCATCAGTGTTCTTCTAGGGATTGAAATGGCAAGGGAGGGTAAGCTTGAGAGTTATTGAGGATAAATTCATTCCCACATCTTGCGAATGATTCTTAAAATGCTAGTTAACATATTTTCAAAACACTACTTTACGTACATTATTTATTATTAGTTGAAATTTATTTAAAACATGAATTTATGGATGTTATTCTTTTAATGTATAGGATTTTATTATGAATGTGTAATTTATAATAAATTTTAAATAATAAAAAAATATATTGAAAATAATGTGTTGTTACCTCTCTTGTTTGTACATGATGCGCATAATTGAGTTGTTTTTGGCTAACTTGAAAAAGTAACCACTAATTAAACAGCATGTGCAAAGGGTCTAAGATCATAGATTCTTCTCTGCAATATAGAATGTTTAGGGTTTTAGAACTAACAAGGACATAGGTGAAAAGAGAGAAGACACACAATGTGCAATTAACATAAATGACTCAGATGTGAGAGATCTTCTAAAAACAAAGTGATATTCTCATCATGTTCAGTTCAGTTTGAAGCGTCCATTATTTTTAGTGTCAAAGACACCATGGCCTTTGTGGACCATGTTGTTATCACACCAAAAATGCTAGAATACACAGCAATGAATTGCTGCTTGTCCTTATTTTCTCAGAATGATTTTAGTTTCTCCTGGCCTTAATGCAAAAAGTAAAATAATCCATTAGTAACAAATATATGTGGCTAATTAAATTGTCAATGCCAAATGAATGAAGAAGTTGAAAGGTAGAATTCGGAATAAGACAAGAGTGGAACATCCGATATTTCACTTCTAGAACCTGCAATCCATATTTGTTACCCATAAAAGTATGTCACTTGAATAATACTGATGTATAACAATTGGTGCGTAATTAAGCTATACCAGAGATTTATGAAAAAACTTACTGGCGTGCAGATTGATTGCAACAATAATTAATAACAATAGTTAATACAATTTAGTTTTTATTACACGACATTTATAAAATAATTATACAAAATAATATAAGTAATTATTTTAATTAATCTTATTAATTTTTTAATAATAATATATCATGTTTTATTATTATACTTATTAGATATTTTTTTAAATTAAAATTTATATATCAATACCAATAATATTAATAATAAACAATAATTAAAGAGTTAAAAAATATTCAACAACAAATGTAACGACCCGGCTAGTCACTACACACGGCATCGCACACTAGAAACTCCAGACAGATAGAACAAGTATATAAATATAGGATCTAGAATATATAAATATACAAAGTTCTAGTCTGACTAGGGTTAAAGTGTACCAAAGAAAATTACAACCAAATGCTACTATCCCAAGTAGCTACCAGCAAAATATCCACACAAGCAAAACAGCTCCA